TCGGTTCTTTGGAATCGATTTCTGGTATTCAAGGTATGATCTGGGCATTCGATAGCTTGTGGGTTCACCGAAATGGTGGTCATCTTTATCGCTTGACCGACACCGACGGTGACGACCAACTCGACAAAGCTGAAACGATCCCTGGCGGTACCGGTGGTGGCGAGCATGGCAACCACGCCGTCATTGTCACTGAAGATGGCGAAGGGCTCTACTTGGACGGCGGCAATCATGCCCCGCTGGGTGAATATGCAGGCTCACGCGTGACAAGCTGGGATGAAGATCTCTTGCTTCCCCGAATGTGGGACGCCAGAGGCCACGCACGTGGCAAGTTGGCTCCCGGAGGTTGGGTAACGCGACTCAACATCGAAAACAACGAACAAACCGTTTACACGATTGGTTTCCGAAATCAATACGACATCGACCGTAATCGATTTGGAGACGTCTTTACGTACGATGCCGACATGGAATGGGACCTAGGGCTCCCGTGGTATCGGCCGACGAGAATCTGCCACGTTGCCAGCGGTACCGACTACGGTTGGCGAAGCGGCTCTGGCAAATGGCCTGCCTACTACGAAGATAGTGCACCTCCCGTGATCGACATCGGCCCTGGTTCACCTACGGGCGTCGTTTCGGGAAAGGGAACCGCTTTTCCTTCTCGCTATCAGGACGCACTGTTCGCTCTCGACTGGACATTCGGCACCATTTACGCCATTCATTTAAAGCCTGACGGGGCCAGCTACAAAGCCACTGCCGAACCGTTTACGTTTGGTTCGCCACTTCCCGTGACCGACGCGATCGTCGGCAAAGATGGAGCGTTGTACTTCGCCATCGGAGGTCGTGGAGCTCAATCGGCTTTGTTCCGAGTTCGATACATAGGCAATGAGTCGACGGCTCCCCCTACCGACATCGATCCTGCAGCGGCCGAAGCCCGCAAGCAACGTCGACAGTTAGAGGCATTCCATGGTGTTCAAGACGACCAAGCCGTGGCAACTGCCTGGCCTTTTTTGGACAGCGAAGATCGCTTTCTCCGAAATGCAGCCCGCGTCGCAATCGAAAGCCAAACACCTGACAGTTGGGCCCAGCGCGTCTTCTCGGAAGTAAGCCCACAAGCGAAAGTAACCGCTGCCGTGGCATTAGCTCGTAGCGGCCAACCAGAGTACCGCGAACCCCTGCTTAAAGCCTCTCGGCACTTAACGGAAAAGAACTCAACAAAAGCCAATTACTGGGTTTGCTTCGAGCCTACGCGCTGACGTTTATCCGTCTGGGGGCTCCGACAGAAGCGGAACGCCAAGCGGTCATTCGACAGATTGATCCGTTGCTTCCAACGAGCGATGCCGATATCAATACCGAGCTAATTCGCGTGTTGACTTACCTCAAAGCTGAAAGCGTCATTGCCAAAACGATGGCATTGATCGAGCAACGATCGACTCCTGAAATCCCAGATTGGTCAACGCTCGCTTCGCGAAATGCACGCTATGGCGGGACCGTAAACGAGCTACTTAAAAACCATCCTCCCACGAAAGAGATCGGCTACGCGTTCATCCTCCGCAACATGCGACAAGGATGGACCATTCCGCAGCGCAAAGCATATTTCACGTTTCTAAACGAAGCCGCCAAAGCTTCTGGTGGTGCGAGCTATTCCGGGTATCTGACGCGAATTCGCGACGAGGCATTGGGAAATTGCACC